AACGCCCCAAGACGACCCCAAGAGAGGCCCAACAGAGGGACGACGAACGGAAAATTCAACGTTTCCGCCCAGACAGAGGCCCAGGAGGCCCCAAGTGGCCACGATGAAGCCCCCAAGAGGGCCCCAAGAAATCCAGAAATTTCAAGAGGCTTTAGCAGGGCCCAAGTGGCTCTAAGAAATCCGACATACGTGGGGCCCCTGGCGGGATGGGCCGAAGGCAAGTAGGTGGCCCGCAGCCGCCGCCCGGCCCGCAGCCGGCTGCTGCCGCCGGTGCCTCAGCTGTCGGCGTCAGCTGTCAGCGTAGGCTGCTGCCGAAGCGCTGCTGTCGGCGTCGGCTGCTGCCGCCAGCGCCTCAGCCGGCTTCGCCTCCTCGCCTGCTGGAGCGGGGGCCTTGGCAGGCTTCGCCTCTTCAGTGGTTGCTGCCGGCGCGGCCTCCGGCGTCGCCTCCTCGGCTGCTGCCGCCGGTGCCTCAGCCAGCTTCGCCTCCTCGGCCGGTGGGGCGGGAGCCTCGGCAGGCTTCGCCTGCTGCTGGCGCGGCCTCCGGCGTTGCCTCCTGCGCGGCGCCGCCGGTGCCTCAGCCGGCTTCGCCTCCTCGGCCGGTGGAGCGGAAGCCTCGGAAGGTTTCGCCTCCTCCGCGGCGCCGCCAGCGCTTCGGCCGGCTTCGCCCCCTCGGCTGCTGAAGCGGAGGCCTCGGCAGGCTTCGCCTCATGGCGCGGCCTCCGGCTTGGCCTCCTCGGCTGCTGCCGCCAGTGCCTCTGCCAGCTTCGCCTCCTCGGCCGCTGGAGCGGGGGCCTCGGCAGGCCGCGCCTCCGCCGTGGCGCCGCCGGTGCCTCAGCGGGAGCGGTGGGCCTCGGCAGGCTTCGCCTCTCCAGTGGTTGCTGCTGGCGCGGCCTCCGGCTGCTGCCATGGCCTCAGCCGGCTTCGCCGCCTCGGCTGCTGGAGCGGGGGCCCATCGGCAAGCGTCGCCCCCTCCGGCAGCTCCTCGTCGGGCCGCGGCGGGCAACCGAGAGAGACCGATGGTTGTACTTTGTGCGACCATTGCGTTAATATGCGCCCTTTGTTGTCTAGTTGTTGTATGTTGTTGATCTTTTTTTGTGCGACATCGAAATTGGAAAATACGATGGCAAACTTTAAGCTGCATTGCGCCATTGTGTGAGGTTGCGGCTGTGCGCCTGCCATTTTTGGCGCACCAACAGCGATCGCCCGATTGTGAAATGCTATGTTTGCATACGCGTTGTTCCATATGTTGTTGTTTAACAGCAAAAACGTCTCTTCATCCCATGCACGCATCCACATGGAGCACTTCATGGAACGTTGCATTCCCAATGTTTTTTTTAAAAAAAATATATATCTATATATATATATATATATATATATAAAGAAAGGTGGCCCCGAGCGGCCACTGAATATCCGCCAGCCTTAAGATGCGCCCAAGAGGGTCCCCAAACAATCCCAAGCCATGTTCGAAAGGCATTTTCGGGGTTCGACGGCCCCGCGGGGCCCCCGAGGAAACTCCGAAACGCGCCCAAGGGTCACCGAAACGGGGGGGGGGCATATAGATTAATCAACCGAGACGCCAGACGCCCCACGAACCTTGTGCGTTCTGACAGGTACCCCAAAGGCCGCTGGCCTTCTCCTCTACCCCTCCTTCCACGCCCCCTTTATCCAGGTGGCGGTGTCGACGCGAATCGTTTATCGTCGTGCGTCGTGGTCGTCGACCGTCGTCGGCCTCGGCGTCGTCGTCGTCGCCGTCGCGTCTTCAGGCGCGTTTGTTCCCTACCTAGGCTCTGCCTAGAAGGGTTCTGACTCTCTATGCTTAAAGGGCCGGGCAGTGTAAAACGCCCCGGGCGGTTCCCCCGGCATCCGCCCCGCGGTTCCCCCAGTTAAGTATCCTGCTTATCTCATCTTAGCTTAGCCTGTTTCATCTTAGCTTAGCTTAGCTTCATCTTAGCTCAGGTTTATCTTAGCTTATAGCTGACCTTCATCTTAGCTTCGCTGAGCTTTAGCATAGCAGAGCACAGCATAGCATAGCAGAGCGTAGCATAGCATAGCGCAGCACAGCATATCATAGCGTAGTCCTACGTAGCATGGCATATCGCATCATATCATAGCAGAGCATATCATATATCGCAGCACAACGCAGCACAGCGCAGCATAGCATAGCACAGCATAGCAGAGCATAGCGCAGTATAGCATGGCATAGCATGCGTAGCATAGCATAGCATCGCATAGCATAGCAACTAATGCTGCTTTCCTGGGGGCTCCAACTTCAGGGTCGCACTGGGGTATTTTTTCTTCGGGGGGGGGGAGGGGCTTGATTCGACGCGGAGTCCTGATCGAGCGCGTTCCAGGACAGGACGGGGAGTCGCTGTCGTCAGTAGTGGCCCTGGGGTGTCTCCTCTATATGACGGCTGGATTCGCCTCGAGTTCTGTTCCGCGGTCGCCGTCGTCAGCGGCGGCGTCGCGGTCGCCAGGAAATCTTGCCGGGGGCCGGGGGGGGCGCCTTCGGCGCGCTGGTCGCCGCGGCTGGATTCGCTTCGTGTTCTGATCAGAATGCGTCCCTGGAGAGGTTCGGGGGTCGTCGTCGTCGTCGCCGTCGTCGCCGCCGCCGCCCGGGCCCTGGCCCGCGAGCGGGGTCTCTCGCGCGGCAGCGCCGCGGCGGCTGCGTGCCCGGGCGGGGCCTGGAGGCCCGCCCCGCTTTGGATCAAGGATCGAGGATCGAGGATTGAGGATCGAGGGTCGAGGAGGAGCACGAGGAGGAGGAGGAGGAGGACGACGAGGAGGAGGAGGACGAGGAGGAGGAGGAGTAGGAGGAGAAGGCAAGAGTAGGATGAGGAGGACGACGAGAAGGAAGAGCTAGGATAGGGGGGAGGATCGCCCAAGACAGGGAGGAGCAAACATAACGGTAGGAGGGGGAGGGGGAGGGGGGGGAGGAGGAGGAGTGGATGGAGGGTAATGGGAGATCCAACAGATGCGGTGCGTGGCCAAGATGCGGATAAAACGAGGATCCAAACAACAATGGCCATGCAACTTGAATGAAGGAACGATGCGGAAGAGGAGAGGGACAGAGGAGAAAAGGAACGATGATAGAGAGCCTTCGAAAGGGAACGCACATTCGACGTGAGGGATTCGCCTGGGGGATCCGCCTGAGGGGTTCGCCCATAGGGAAACGCGTCCAACATGAGGGTTTCGCCTGCGACATCCTTTGACACATCGGTGCCTGCGACGGGATGTGAGATATAATGTAGCAAACCTGATCGTATCGTGTTCATTGTTTCGTTTGGGTCATCTTAAAACATCGGCGCCTCTGGCTGGATGCGGGGCGCAGGGGGCTGCACGCCCTCCCCTTCTCATTCTGCAGCCGCGTTTGGCTCAGAGGTGCCCCTTGCCAGAGGATGGCAGCAGTTCGCACCTGGAAGTCGGTGCGCCCAGGCAAAATAGATTGGAGAGAGGAAGATGTCAAACGAATAGCGGTCAATATCTACAAAATGACCCCGCCGGCAGTCAAGCAGCTCGTCGAACAAGAAACGATGATTACGGATATCGTCCAGCCCTTCAACAAAGATGATCCGACAAACATGGCTTGCGGCATAACAGAATTGGAACAACATTTTGTCTTCCTGCATCCGTTCATCGAAGCTTTCCCAGACAAAGTCCCATCGGCGTTCATGATAACAGATGTGATGATCATGCTGAACCGGCTTTTCGAATCGACCACGCTTCGCGAGTTTCCGCCGACCATCGGGAGTTCTTCCCTCCTCCTTTTCCTCCTCCTCCTCCTCCTTCTCCTCCCTCCTCCTCCTTCTCCTTCTCCTCGTTCTCGTTCTCCTCCTTTTCATCCCTCCCCCTCCTTCTCCTCCTCCTTTCTCCTCCCCCTCCTCCTGGTGCTCCTTCTCCTGCTCCTTGCTCCCGCTCCTCCTTCTCCTGCTCTTCCTCTTCCTCCTCCTTGCTCGACCTCCACCTCCTGCTCCTCCTCCTCGCCCTCCTTCTCCTCCTCCACCTCTTCCCCCCGTCCCCCACCTCTCCCCCCGTCGCCCCCCACCTCGGGCGAAGAAGGGGGGGTGGGTGGGGGGGGGGAAGAAGGGGGGGAGACGAGGATGATAACGCGGACATGGGCGGGAGAGGAGGCGGAAGTGGAACGGGGGCAAGCGGGCGAAAGGGGGGGGAGGGGGAGGGGGGGGGAGGAGGGGGAGGAGGAGGGACACGAGGAGGAGAAGGAGGACGAGGAGGAGGAGTGGGGGCGGGCAGAAAGGGAGGAGGAGGAGAGGAGGAGGAGGAGGAGGAGAGGGGAAGGGCAGAGAGGAGAGGAGGAGGAGAGGAGGATACCTCTCGGACTTGAGCTTCAGACGACGCAGTGAGGGGGGGTGAGGGGGAGGGGGGGGGGGGGGGAGAGAGGAGAGGGCAATCCCCCGTCGGAGCCGCGATCCCCGCGAGGGGTCAAATTGCAACGCTTCCCCCCTCCAGGCCCAGGGGGAAGGGGAAGCTGGGGGTTCAACAGAGGCCCAAAACGCTCACGCCCAAAGGGATGGTAGGATTCAAACTCATGTCCAAGGATCCCGCGCGCAAGATCGAGTCAGCAGGCAATTGCGCGAAACGCATCAAGGCTTGCCTCCAACGCGCCAGGCCCTGGGGCAAAAGAGCCTCAACCTACGTTTCGTCTTCTCTTCGTTGATCCCCCTTCAACTCCTCTGCATCTCTCCCCCTTCCGCCTCCTATTCATTATTGTCCCCCTTCTCCCCCTGCAAGTCCTCTCCCGCCTCCGCTCGTCCGTTCGTTTGCCTTGGGTTCGCGTGCGTTGGAGCGCCGGCTCGAGGTTCCTGTGGCGGATGACAGATGCTTCGTACTCCCCGCAGGTGGCCGCGCTAAAACAAATGATGATCAGAAAGAGCCCATCCAAAGCTGCAACCTCTGCGACGACAGATAGTGCTGCCACCACCCTCACTGTCCCAGAGAGCGCCGCCGCATTCGAAGTGCCATCGTCATCTGCCAGCGCGCTGTCAATGGCGGGATCTGATGAGCAGCTCGACGCCCTCATGGACGACCTCGAGGCGCAGGAGGACAGGAACGACGGCGGCGCCAAGCTCGACGACGGCGACATCGAGGGGCAGGAGGGCGGCGGCGCCAAGCTCGACGACGGCGACATCGAGGGCCAGGAGGGCGGCGGCGCCAAGCTCGACGACGGCGACGTCGAGGAGCAGGAGGCTGGCGGCGCCAAGCTCGACGACGGCGACATCGAGGGGCAGGAGGGCGGCGGCGCCAAGCTCGACGACGGCGACGTCGAGGAGCAGGAGGCTGGCGGCGCCAAGCTCGACGACGGCGACGTTGAGGAGCAGGAGGCAGGCGGCGCCAAGCTCGACGACGGCGACAACCAGGGAGCAGGAGGCAGGCGGCGCCAAGCTCGACGACGGCGACAACCAGGAGCAGGAGGCAGGCGGCGCCAAGCTCGACGACGACGGCGACAACAAGGAGCAGGAGGCAGGCGGCGCCGGTGCCTGCGAAGACGAGTTCGCGAAGCTCTTGATGGCGCCGATCACGTCGACTGGGGACTTGGACGGGGGCCCCGCGCAGGAAGAGGAGATGCTCGAGGCCTTGATGGACGGTTCCGCCGACGCCAAGGACGGCGACAAGGGTCTCGCCGCGAAGGAGGACATCGAGGAAGTCAATGATGATGGAGAATCCGAATTGGCCGACAGCTGCCGCTTCAACTGGAGCGCCACCTTGCACGCGGGCGACCACCGCGGCATCGACGAGCCCAAGGGTGGTTTGCAGGAAGAGCTGGAGCTCATGGATGCCATTCTCGAGAAGAATGCCCCCACGTGCGGCGCGCCCCTCAAGAAGAGCAACAAGAAGAAGAAGAAGAAGGGCGAGCTCAAGGGTGGCGCTTCTTTCGGCACGGGCAAGAAGAAGAGCAAGCGCGCTGGGGGGGCCGAGGGCGGCGACGCCGCAGGGCCCAGGCCCAAGAATAACAGCGAGAAGAAAAAAGAAGAAGAATACCGAGGGCGCCAGGGCCGCTGCAGATGACAAGTGGGATGAGGCCTGGGAGCAGTGGGGCGACGACTGGGACAACTGGGAGGGCGAGGAGGTGATCACTCCGGGCAAGAAGAAGAAGAAGGAGAAGAGGGCCAAGGCTGCCGCTGCCATCGAGGGCCTGGGCGACTCCACGCCACCGAAGCTGAAGAAGGTCAAGGCGGTCAAGAAGAAGAAAGACATCGACGAGGAGAAGGTCACGGAGGAGCCAGCCGAGCAGGAGTTGCCGACCATCAAGGCCAAGAGGAAGGCATGGAATGACATCGCAGAGTTTGCGGACGCGGTGAACAGGGTGGCCGCCGCGGACGTGGAGACTTGGGAGAACGGCCCCGAGTTGTCCGAGAAGGTGCTGGTCTCGTTGGCGATGCTGCCGCCGGAGGCCACCCCGCCGTACAAGCTGAACACCAACCAGAAGAACTACAGAGTCGACCTCGGCAACGGCGGCAAGGTGGAGGTGCAGTTGTATCATCGCCTGTTCAGGGTCATCGAGCTGGCCAACGACAGGGACCTGCAGAGCTGCAGCAGGTTGAACTTCACGTGGTTGTCGTTCGACTCGGTGGCAGAGGCATGGAGCGCGATCGTTTCGACTGTCGAGGGGTGCGACTCGAGCTAGACGCAGAGCTCAAGCATGACCTCCTCTGCCAGAGGCGCTGTCGGTCGCCAGTGACATGACAGGCGGCGGAGGAGGACGGGGCCCAGAAGCTTGCCTTTCGCCAAGCTCTGGGGTGAAATCTTCATCATCTGCACCATCAGCAGCATCGGGGCCCTGCAGGTGGCCCAAGGAAGGCGTCGGGCCCCAGAATCACCCAGGTTGCCCAAGGAAAGCGCCAGGCCCGCGTCGGGCCCAGGTCCGAGGGTCACTGGCCGAAGATCTCTGGGGTCTCACTCCTCCTTCTCCTGCTCACCCCCCTCCTCCTTCTCCTCCTCCTCCTCCTCCTCCGCCCTGTCATCCTCTTCCCTCTCATTCCCCATCTTCGCCGCCGCCTCCTCCGACCCCGAGTGCATTGCACCCCGTCGCAGCGCCCGATTGCATCGCGCTGACTCCCGAACTCGGGAGGGCGGGCGTCAGATGAGGGAGAGGAGAAGGAGAAGAGGATGAGGAAGTGGAAGAGGAGGAGAGGAAGTCGGGCGAAGAGGACGAGGAATTGGAAGAGGAGGACAGGGATGGCGAGAGGGTAGAGGCGATGGAGAGGAGGGGGAGGAGGGGGGGGGAGGAAGAGGAGGAGAAAGAGGAGGAGGAAGAGGAGGAGGAAGAGGAGGAGGACGAGGATGCAGAGCCCGACGACGCCCTCGCATCTTCGTGGCTGGGATCACCCACTCGATTCCGTTTCGAAGGTCCCCGAGCCCCGGTTCGATTTCAAGAAGGTCCGATTGTTTTCAAGGTTGTAGGTTTCAAAGGAAGGCTCAAAATCAATTTCGCAACCCCCCATGGGCGTTGTCGGACTTTTTGCTGACAGCTCTTTCCTCGTCTGTCTCTTGCGCTGCCCCCCTCGCCCCCCGGCCGGCCAACTCCCGCCTGCGCCGCCCAGGCATGGGGCGCAGCTGCCGCCGGCGCCAGCGGCCGCTGCCGAGGGCCTGCGCCTGGCCCGCGGGGGTGGCAGCAAGGCAGACGGATCGTCGTCACCCTCGTTCTCGTTTTCAATCGTCGTCTTCCTCCTCCCCTGCCCCTCGTGTTCCTGATCCCCCGTCCGTGGGCCCCCCCTCAGTGCGCTTCGCTCCTGCCCCCCCCGTCCCCCCTCGAGAACGGTTCGGTTGACGGGGAACCAGATCGACTCCAGGAATGGCGCTGGGTGCCAGCGCGGCCCAAACCACCCAAGAAACCATGGCCGCTCTAGAGATCGACCAGGGGGCCACCCCAGCGAGCCCTGCTGCCATTGGAAGGGAGACGCTGGCGAGGAGACGGGCGAAACGAATGAGGAGAGGAGGAATTCGGAGAGAGGGAACGGGATGGAAGTGGAGGGGGGGCATTTCGCCTCTCCTTCTCGCCCCTCTCTTCTCGCGGGAGGGCGCTGGAGAGGATGGGGCGCTTCCTTTGAGACTCCTCGCAAGCGTTGCAAGCGTCGTGGCCGCGCTGTGTTGCGTGGCGCTGGTGGCTACGATGATGAGCATTGCGATGGTGGCCTTGATTATGACAATGACCGGATGGTGTGGATGTGGATGACGAGGATGAGGATAATTAAAATAGTGGCGTACGATGTACATGATGTTAGCCGTCGTTCGCCCCAAGCCCCAAGCCGCTGCTTCTTGAAGATCATTATGAGCAATGTGGTGCAATGCGCGAGGTGCAAGATGCAATGCACGCAAGGCCGTGGTGCACTCTACGCGGCGCTTCAATGCAATGCGCTCTTTGCAGCGTGCTGACCCACGCCAGTCTATTTGCAATGCAACGTGCGGTGCAACCTATGTGGTGAAACCTGCAGGCAGTGCAATCTGCCATGCGTTCTATGTGGTGAAATCTACGCGGTGCAATGTATGCGCGGCAGCGCGTAGTGCAAGCGGGGCAAAGTACCTGGTGCAATTTAAATGAGGTGCAACCGAGGCGGCGCAACCCAAACTGAGCTCTACGCGGCGCAATCTACGCGGCGCACGAGATACATTTATATATGTATATATATATATACACAAATGTATATATATATATATATATAAATATGTGTGTATGTACGCAGCAATGTATGACATGAAATACATTGCACGTGCGTGGTTACATATATGGTGCCATACATGTGCTATACAGTGCAGTCGGTGCAACCTGCGTGGTGCATAGTATGCGCGGCAACATGTGATGCTACATTCGGTGAAGCCGATACGCGATGCGACTTATGGTGAGGTGCAGTCCAGGCGGTGCAATCTATTTTCAGTATTTGTGGTGCAACCTACGTGGGCCAATGCACGTGCTGTTACTTTATAATGCAATATTTGCGGTGCGCTATGCGGTGCGGCTTATGTAATGCAGTTTGTTTTGACCAATTCACTCGGCGCACCTTATCGGCAGCGCAATGTATGCGGTGCAATCGACGTGGTGCATTGCGTGCGCGGCTAATGCAACCTATATGCGGTGCAAGCTACGTGGGGCAATCTATGCTGTGCACTCTTTCGGCGTGGCGCAATCTACGGTGCAACGGGGAATGTGCCGCATCAGAGGGTTCTGTTTGCATGTCGCCATGGCTGGACTGCCGGTGTGAATGCCTGACTGGTCTCTGAGACTCCTCGTGGAAAATGCGAGCGGTGCTGGACTTCGTGAGACGGGCTTGACAGAAGAGGGCCACCGTTGCACCTGTTTCCCCCTCGGCCTTCCTCCCCTTTTCCCTAACGGAATCCTGTCCCAACTGCCTTCTAGGCTCGAACAGCGCGGGCCATGAATTTTGGCCCCCTGGATTCTCGCCCGCGATGCCACGCGGTACATATTCTGACGAGGAAGAACAATACTCGCCGATGTGGATTCCCGCGCTGCAAGACTACGTGTACCCGTGGGTAATCCGCGATCGTGGGGGGCGCAACCAGCTGCCTGCGGCAAGCTCCGCCATTGTGCCTGAGTTGTGGCAACATGTCTGTTAGATGGGATATTGCGGTTGGGGGCCACTTGGGGATGTCGGGCCCCCCAGTGATCTCTCAGCGCCTCTCGGGGGCATTCTGAGAGCCCCCTCAATTGGGGCCTCCAGGGGCCCTGTCGGGGCGGAAGCTCGAGGTGGCTTTTCATGGCCCCCCTCTCGTGCCATTCTAGGGGCCATCGTCGACTCCGCATCGACTCATCGACGCCCATGTCGGCACGCCCTTCACGCATGCTGCGGCCTCCTCGGGAGTTCGTCCGGATTCGTCAAACCTGCTTCGCGGTGTACCCTCACATGCACATGATCGGGTCCTTCGCTATATAGTTGTGAGTGCCCCATGGGAACGATGTCCACGATGTCCCCTGGGGTGGGAGGGGGTCGGCTCTAGAAAACGCGATTTCCGAACTGCGCGAACGCGCGGTGGCGGATCCAAGTCGAATGGGTGAGCGCTTCAGACTGGAAGCATCGCGATAGGCATCGCGAGGAGTACTGGGGCTTGCCGCCATCGCCTAGCGACGACGAGGAATCGGACCGCGCCAGTGCGAGCGAGACTGGGCCCGAGGCTGAGCCCGCGGTGGTTTCGAGCGAGGCCGAGTCCGAGGATGTCGATGGTGAGGCCGAGCCCGCAGATGCCGCCCACGGGCCCGACCCCGCGGAGAACGCAGACACCGAGCACTTCCTGGAGGCCTCCGAGAGCGATCCGCCCGTCAGCGAGCGAGCCCAAGATGTAGAAAGCAGCCCATCGTGCATGGAGATTTCTGAGGGCCGCGGGGCCAGTTCCGACTTCGACAGCCTCCTGACGGATATCTCGATGGAAGTCGGCGATGACCCTGCTGCCCCAGACGCCCGCCACGAGCCTGAGGCTTGCCCCGTCCCGGACCGCGGCGGCGACCTGATCCCTGAGAAGGATCCCTGAACGCGGGCGCCTGTTTTTTGTTTATCTTTTCTTCGCGCGCGTGCTCGTGCAGCCCCTCCCCTTGCTCAGCCTGGTCTTTCTTCTCCTCGCCTCCTCCCTGCGCTTCCTGCGTTCTCATGTCCTCCTCAATGTCTCGCCCCCCCTTCCCTGCCCGCGCCCCCCCCCCCCCCTTCCCGCGCATCCCGCGCCGCCCCCTCTCTAGATCTCTGCGCAGACATCAGAGGCTGCGCAAAGAGGTCACAGGAGGATATCACAGGAGAGGGCACCACAGGAGATGGGAGGATGATACAGGGAGGATATCACAAAAGAGGGGGGAATGTTTCAAACGAACCGCGAGGAATGGGGGGGGGGTGACCCACGCACTTGAGCCGTCGCACACAGAGAGCGATGTTGGGTTTATGAGGATCTGGTCGTAACATGCCTTTTGGGTTCAAACGTTTCGAAGAGCCCCGCGCTCACATTCCACGTGCTCGCAATGGTCCGTCGTCACACGCTGAAACGGAAAACTCGCCGACGAGCGTTCGAGCGGAATCAGAAGAAGGTGTTGCACCCCATTGTGAGACCTTCTCTTCATGATCAAGAGTGTCGCAAATGGAGTACTGCCAAAGCTCCCAAGTCCATAGGCGCACCCCGGGTACTTATTCGACTCTGTCTATTGTTCATCACAAAGGTTGCCATCGGCGAGCCGCATTTTGATCAAATTGAATATATGGCAGGGAAACACGCATGTACACGAGCAGCTTGGGACAGGGGCAAGCACGCGTTCCCTTACGAAATTAAGCGGGCTGCGCCGCTGCACGGCCGGTGGGGGGCTGAGGGCGAGGGAGGAGGGGTGCTCGAAAATCGTTTGCTTTGACCATGCCTATCTCCATTCCCCCTAGAGAAAGTCTTTAACGCCCTGCACTGGCTCGCCCGGTGCGACGGGGATCCCGTCGCTGGCGGATCTTGCACAATAGTGAATATTTCAATATTTTGAGCCCTCAAGGGCTCGCTACTGCGATCCTGGTTGCCTTACGATGCAAACCAGCCAGTGGAATCTCGCCGTTCGCGCCAGTGTGTAGAAGTTGGGTGCCCGTGAACCTGGCGACAAGCAGACGCACTCGGTCTAACCCTATCGGCGATGAAACTCATCAATACGTCAAGGAA